AACTTCCCACTCTGCATATGGAGGTACAGAGGATGATGGTGCCAGGGCTGCTGGGCAAGGCTGACCCTCACCTGTGTCTTCACAATCCCAGGTGTCCAGTTGACCAGGCCCCGCAGCCCAGGCAGGCGGCCCTCAGGGTGTGGGCCACAGAGCCCCTCCATCCCTCAACTGTGCCGGTTCCTTCTCTCTCTGGGCCTCCTTCCCTGTCTCCCCAGCCAGGATGCTCAGCCTGGGATCCAGGCCACGGACGGGAGGTGCCAGAAAGGCTCTAATGAGCGCTGTTCATGTTCCTGGGCAGTTCCCTGCTCCCCACCTCCACTCCCCGTCAGTCCCAGCCCCCGCTGGGGGCTTTATTTTTAGGTACCACTTACTCAGCACCCAGCTGTGTGTGCAGCCGGAGGAAGCCTGGTTCCCTGGCAACCGGCCTGGCTCAGCCTGGTGGGCCCCTCCCCTCAGGGATCCCACCTCCTGCCCACTCCCCACTCACCCCTGAGCTTCACCCTCACACCACCACCCCCCTGCCAAATGTAAATGTGGTCAGGACACCCCCTCAACCCCCGTTGTCCTCGGAAGTAAGTCTTGGCCCATTACCCCTGGGGCCCAGGACTTATTCTCTCCCTGTCCCACCGGGCCTGTCCCACCGTGGCCTCCTTCCCTCCATCTGGGCTCCTGCGATGACTTCAGGTCCCAGATCACCTCCGCTTATCCCTGTCTACCCTCGCCATTCCCTCTACCTGGATGCCCCTCCCCTTACACTCATCCATCCGTCCGTCCGTCCGTCTGTCCGTCCATCCAACAATATTGAGTTAGTCCTTCTAGGACACGGGCAGGGGACTCACTCGGCTACGAGCATGGTTTTCATGCCCTGCCCTCAGGGGCACGCCACGCCTTGGGACAAGCCACTGCAGGATGGGGACAGGGCGGGCTGTTTCCATCTCATCGCTGCCGTAATCAATCTGCATCCTCAGGTTCCGCGGAATCATTCTCGCTGGTGAGGTGAGTTTTGAAGTCAGATCTGGGCATGGGCAGGTGTCAGGAGGTGAGGCAGTGGGGTGGGCGAGGAGCCTTCCCACCCGAGGGAACAGCATATGCCGCGGCTGTGGTGGGCCGACCCAGGAGAGGGTCCAGGGCCCCCAAGTCTCCCTTGCAACAGGCAGGCCTGGTGAGGGGCTCAGTTTCCAAGAAACAAACGGAGAATTGCAGAAAAGTGACAGGTTCCCCCTGGCTGCAGGGTGGAAACAGGGTCTCCTACTGTGAGGAGGCCCCCAGGGTGGGAGGCGCGTACAGAGTTGTTCTGGGCAGTGGTGATGGTGCTGGGCCCTGGACAGAGGTGTGAGGTGGGAAGAGGGGACGTGAGAGATGTGTAAGGGGGAGAATGTCCAGGATTTGGGGATGAATGAGGGAACAAAGGGGTGTAGCCCCCATGGTGGGCGGGTCCAGGCGAGCTGGGAGAGACCCTGAGTCCCTCTGCAACAGGCAGGTGGCTGCCGGGTGCCTGGAGAGGGTTGGGCTGGAACCAGTAACTGTTCATCAGGGGGCGAGATCCACAATTCTCAACCCGGCGTGCACAGTTCTGCCACCTGGCCAGCTTCATGGTTTCATTTCTATTATAATTTTAACATCTTTACTGAGATATAATTCACAAGCCATACATACAAGTCTGAGTTTTTGTTTATCCACAGACTTGTGCAGGCATCACCACAATCATTAAAACATTTTCGTCACTCCCCAGAGAGACCCCAGTACCCCTGAGCTGTCCCCCCCAACTCCTCTCCAGCACTAATCACCACCAAGTCGCTCTCTGTCCCTATGGATTTGCCTCTCCCGGACACTTCCTACGAAGGAATCACGGTATTTGTCCATTGGTGTGCGGCTTCTCTCACTCGGCACTGTGTTTTTGAGGTTCAGCTGCGTAGTGCCATGTCTCAGCACTGTTCATTTTTACGGCTGAACAATGTTCCACTGTGTGGATGGACACACTGTGTTTCTCTATCAGGCAACGGACACTTGGGTTGCCCCCACCTTCGGGCTGTTGTGAAGAATGTGGCTGTAAACACTTGTGGACAGTTTTTGTGTAGACACGTTTTCATTGCTTTTGGGCAAATGAAATTTGCCCAAATTTCATTGCTCTGGGCAAATTCCTCGGTGTGGAATTGTTAGGTCACATGGTAACTCGCATGTTGGACACGTTGCGGAACTTCTACCCTGTTTTTCACAGCACCTGTATCTTCTTACATGCCCACCTTGATAACTTATTTTTATTTTTATTTATTTATATTTGAGATGGCATTTCGCTCTTGTTGCCCAGGCTGGAGTGCAGGGGCGTAATCTCAGCTCACTGCAACCTCCACCTCCCAGGTTCAAGCGACTCTCTTGCCTCAGGCTCTTGAGTAGCTGGGATTAACAGGTGTCTGCCACCACGCCCGGCTAATTTTTTGTATTTTTGGTAGAGATGGGATTTCACCATGCTGGTCAGGAACAGCTCTCGAACTCCTGACCTCAGGTGATCTGACCGCCTCGGCCTCCCAAAGTGATGGGATTACAGGCGTGAGCCACCGCAGGGGCTCAGCCAGGCAGGGGCTTAGCGAGGTGGGGGCACGAGGGAGCCTTTCAGAACTGGAGGTGCCCTGTGCTTGGATGCGGTGCTGTCACAGGTGTGCACATAGGGGAACCTTCAAGCTGTAACCTTTCCATCTGCGCACGCTACTATAGCCAAGTCATATCAAGTTGGACCATATAAAGTTGCCAATACTGCATGTGACCGTTTCTAACTTAGAAAAGCAGTATTATTCGGCCGGGCGCGGGGGCTCACACATGTAATCCCGGCACTTTGGGAGACCGAGGCAGGCAGATCACGAGGTCAAGAGATGGAGACCATCCTGGTCAGCATGGGGAAACCCCGTCTCTACTGAAAATACAAAAAACTAGCTGGGCGTGGTGGTGGGTGCCTGTAGTCCCAGCTACTCGGGAGGCTGAGGCAGGAGAATCACTTGAACCCGGGAGGCGGAGGTTGCAGTGAGCCAAGGTCACGCCACTGCACTCCAGCCTGGTGACAGAGCGAGATTCCATCTCAAAAAAAAAAAAGAAAAAGAAAAAAGAAAAAAAAAAAGGAATATTCTATGATTCAGACTAGTATCCTAAAAACTTAAGAGAAAATGGAGCAGTGTGAATAGTATGAACCAGAAAATGATCAGTGACAACCATCACATGGGAAATTTTGAAAGGGACACAGGCAGTGTGACCTGTGTTCGCCATGGTGGTCAAGTGGGCCTCGCTGAGGAGGTGGCATTTGAGCCAAGACCCAACTGCAAGAGGAAGCAGGAGGGAGGAAGAGCCTCCAGGCATCGGGAGTGGCAATGCAAAGGTCCTGAGGTAAAAACAAGGTCCCAGCGCCCCCAAAGCAGCAGCTCTGAAGGACTGAGCTACCGAGGGTGCCAACCCTGGGCACCTGGTCCCTCGAGGGTCAGGCCAAGGGGTTGAGCCTCTGGGCACCCGTGTGTTTGCAGGAAGCTGGGCCTGGACTATCATGTTGTTCTGAACCCCAGGTCACCAGGGCCAGCAGGGTCAGCCACCCCTGGAGGCAGAGTCACTCTTGTGGGGTGATCCAAGGGTTGTCAGAAAGTGTGGGCATGCCTCTCCGCCACCTGGCCACACGCCTGACATTCTGCCTTATTTTTAAAAATTTTTTAAAATTTATTTTTTGAGACGGAGTCTCGCTGTGTCACCCAGGCTGGGGTGCAGTGGTGCGATCTTGGCTCACTGCAACCTCCGTCTCGTGGGTTCAAGTGATTCTCCTGCCTCAGCCTCCAGAGTAGCCAAGAGTGCTGGTGCACGCCACCACGTCTGGCCAATTTTTGTATTTTTAGTAGAGACAGGGTTTCACCAGGTTGGTCAGGCTGGTCTCGAACTCCTGACCTCATGTGATCTGCCCACCTTGGCCTCCCAATGTGCCGGGATTACAGGCATGAGCCACCATGCCCAGCCTGACGTTCCACCTTCTTTCGGCCTCTGAGGGGCTCCTGTAGGCTGGCAAGGGCCAGGCTGTGGGAACGTGCTGTGCTGGGGTTGAGGGGCAGAGAGAGGGGTTCACTTCTTCAAATTCCACTCGCAATACTTGAGCCCACGGCGGGGGAGGAGAGGCACGGCCTGGGGACGCAGCACACACTGACCCTGCAGCCCCTTATGTGTAAAATGGCCATGATAGTCATGCCTGCCTTGTGTATAAAGCAGGTGCTGAGGCAGTGCCTCCCTCCCTTGTCGCCCATGGAGCTCCTCAAGGTTTTCTCTTTGCTTTCTAGAATCCAGAATCCGTCTCAGGGCTTGAGGGGCATGAGAGACATCTGGTCTGACCATATCCAGTGCTTCGGTCCTGCTGCTGCTTGCACAGGTGCTCACTCCCTCCGCCAACACCTCTGCACACACAGCCTTTGAGGCTGATGGATGGCCTGAGCCAGGCAGCAAAGCTCCGTGCATCCTGATCCTTGGTTCCTGGGGCAGAGCCGGGAGCCTTGGGCTGAGCTGGCTTCTGCTGGAAGGGTCTGCTCTACCGGGAACAGAGCTCATCACTGATGAAGAATCTACCAAGGTTATGATCTCAGCTTGATGAGGGGAGCCTGTCAGAGGGAAGGCAAAGTCAGCTCTGTTTGCCCCTTTCTCCTCTTCAGGGGGTGGCATGCACCAGGGTCACACAGGACAGAAGCACGCCTCAGAGCCTCCTCTGCAAGGCGCTGGTAGAGATGGGCTCTGGCCGCACAGGCCAGCACAGCAGTGCCCGGGCCCGAGGGTGCTCTGGGTTCCTGACACCTGAAGTGCCCACTTTTGGCCTTCGTGTGTACTCTGTCTCAGGACACCACCACAGGCAAAGCTCTGATGGGGTGCCCAGCGTTCTCCTCCGGCCCAGCTCTCAAGAACCTTCTAATTGTTCTTTGCCCTCAGACCAGGCTGTGTGGCTGGCATTTCCTGCCTGGGGCCGGTGCTGGGGGGGGGGGTACAGCTGCCCACCCCCAGACCAGCCCTGACATTTAGTCAAATATTTTAAACAGTTCCCCTCCCCTCTGAGCAGGAAACTCGCTGCACTGCAGGTAAATACTATTTACAGACAGGCTCATAGCCTCACACACGCCGTTTGTTGTCTCATTCCCCAAACACGCAGAAAACAGAATCATTTATTGCCTACAGCATAGGACCGTGATGGACCTGGACATCAAATGCTGTGAGGGCTGGCAGGGCCTGGTGGCCAGAGTGCTGGGAAACCCAGTACACATGTTCCCTCTATATGGGGCTCCGGGATCCAAGGGGCGGATGGTTCTGTGAGTTGCGAGTTGTTCCTGCTTGTCTTCCATCCCCCGGCCCTCCCCAGTCACTCTGATTAGCCAGCTAGGGCAGGGCCTTGTATAAAGTCACACACGCAAACCCCAGAAGAAGGAAAAAGGGCACCTGCGTGTACAACGAGCTGGGTGGCAGAGGCTGCGCCGGGGTAAGGCTTCCTTCATGCAGTTGGGAGTCTGGCCATGTGGGGACATCAGGAGATGCCATCCCACAGAATTGGTGGCTAGGCTGTCCTGGGTGTGGCCGAGAGAGGCCCTGGTCCCAGCGCTCCTTTCATTCTGGTCCTTTCTGAAATGGTTTGGATTTTTAAAAAACCATGAGCATTTATTACTTTTGCAATAAAAAGAAAAAGATGCCCTTTTAAAAGAAAAGAGGAGGGTAGAAACAAGGAAGTCGGCTTGCTGCTTGAAAGAGTCAAGTCCTAGAGGCCACCTCCTCGACAGGAGGCGTAGGTGCGCTGGGGCATTCAGAATGCGAATGGCAGGTGGGCCTGGGTCTTCACAACTCAGCATCCGTAGGGCAGACAGGCATGCACAGATGGTACCAGGAGTCACTATTTCTGAGGACCCAGGCTGGGTCAGTGCCTGCCAGTGTCATGTTCCTGATTTAAGGGGCCAGCCTGGACACTGACCAGGGGAGAACTGGGCTGTGATCCTTGACCCTCAGGCCCTCCACTCATATCAAATGGACCCTCTTGGGACTAGAGCCCCAGAAGGCAATGGCTGTGTGGGGTCCACCTTCACTATAGCCCTGGCCATCAGTCATCCCAAGTTAGAGCCTGGCTGCCCATGCAGTGCCGCTGTGGAGGCACAGGAAGGCGGTGCTCAGTCTGAAGGTGGTTCAAGTCCGTACCTTGACTGAGTGCCCCCATGCAACCCTCACCCACCTGACAGCTGGGCCGGTGGTGCCAGCTAATGGCTCCCTAGGTTTCTCCTAAATCAGACGTGGCCAAAGCAAAACACTGAGCACAGAGCTTGCCTGTCATGGCTTGGAGCAGTGACTTCCTCAAGAGCTCAGGGCTGAGGAGCTGGCTCCAGACAGCTTGTTGCCAGTGTTCAACAACATGACCCCACTCCTGGTTACTGATCAACCCGGTGTGCTCTTGAGAGTACTCCCACCAGGCCTCTGGGTCAATACTACTGTTATTGTTGCTATTGTTATTGCCAGGCCCCGCCCTCCTAAAGCATTTGCATGTTTTCATCCTTAATCACAGAACCAGAATCACTATCTTCCAGAAGAGAAAACTGAGGCCCAGGAGAAGGCAAGAGGTTATGCTGTGCTCCCAGGGCCTTCCTGGGCTCGCTGCGGCTTTGAGCTCCAGCTCTCTCAGCTAGACAATGAGAACCGCGGCCCACGCGCCGCACAGTAAAGGCCCAAAATGCTATGATGGAGGGTGTGGGCCACCGGCTGCAGAGCCCTCCATGCCACAGAGCATGTCCGGCTGGGAGAAAGGAGCAGGCTGAGGCCTGCAGCAGAGCGCGGGGTTGGGGACCGCTTCTGCTGGGCCCCAGCCTGGCTACCTGAGGCCCCTGCCCCATTCCTGCCGCTCACCACCTGCCTGCCCCTAGCCTCTGTTCCAGCTCTGCGCGCCGCGCCCGCAGCCTCCCCAGCCGTCGGCCGGGCTCTCTGCTGCCCTCTAGCGGCCCGAGCGCACGATGCCGAGCTCCGCGCCTGAGGCCCCGAAACGCCGCGTCCGCCCGGCGGTCACCTCACGGGAACAAGAGCCAGGCTGGGGACCGCAGCGGGAGGGGGCTGGGGCTGGGGCTGTGCTCTGAGGACTGCAATATACAGTCCGCGCAAGCACCCAGCAAACGCTGCTGCGCTTACTGGGTTACTTACTAGATGACTATTCTCTGGGGAAACAGAACCAAAGAAAGTAAGTGTACGCGCGCGGGAGATGCAGGAAGGGGGGTCCTTGCCCGAAGTCACAGAGGGACAGGGGCACCGCCGGGACCAGAACCCCGACGCCCTGCGGCCGCCAAGCAAGCGGCATTGGAGGAGTCCGAGCGCCTCCAGCCTCAGCCCGACCCTGGACTGTTTCCCCCAAGTCTCCGCGCCCAGAGGGCAGGAGCCGGGCAGCGGGCGACGAGGGCACCGGGGCTGGGAGCGGGTGCGGGGGAGGCGGGCCCCGCGGGACGTGACGCACCGAGCTGGGAGGGCCGGGGCGGGGCGGCAACGCAGGCTGCATATAAGGGCGGCGGGCGGGCGCCAAAGCCAGAGCAAGCCGCCTTTGCCCAGAGCTTGGGAGAACCCGAGCCGAGCCGAGCCGAGCTCAGCTTAGCCTAAGCCCAGCCCAAGTGGAACCGGAGCCCCAAGCCCGAGCCGCGCCCAGCCCGAGCAGAGCCCTCCGGCCGCTCACCCGCGCTCCACCCCAGCGACCCCCGGCGGCTCTCAGTCCTCTCGGCCCCGTGCCCGCCCTCGCGGCCCCTCTGCCCAATGAAACTGGCCGCGATGATCAAGAAGATGTGCCCGAGCGACTCGGAGCTGAGTATCCCCGCCAAGAACTGCTATCGCATGGTCATCCTCGGCTCGTCCAAGGTGGGCAAGACGGCCATCGTGTCGCGCTTCCTCACCGGCCGCTTCGAGGACGCCTACACACCAACTATCGAGGACTTCCACCGCAAGTTCTACTCCATCCGCGGTGAGGTGTACCAGCTCGACATCCTCGACACATCCGGCAACCACCCGTTCCCCGCCATGCGGCGCCTCTCCATCCTCACAGGTGAGCCGGGGGCCGGGCAGGCACGGGAGGGAAGGGCGGGCAACCCTCGGCCAGGGCACCCCGTGAGCGCCGGTCCCGCTGCCGCGCGCCAAGTAGTGCGCTTCGCGCTTAGAGACGCTAGCGCGCCCCGCGCAGCCTCAAAGTCAGCCCGACTTGTCCCCTGGGCGGCCACCCTCACCTTCTCCTTTTCTGCCCTCTGTGCCCCCTCTAGGAGACGTTTTCATCCTGGTGTTCAGCCTGGACAACCGCGACTCCTTTGAGGAGGTGCAGCGGCTCAGGCAGCAGATCCTCGACACCAAGTCTTGCCTCAAGAACAAAACCAAGGAGAACGTGGACGTGCCCCTGGTCATCTGCGGCAACAAGGGTGACCGGGACTTCTACCGCGAGGTGGACCAGCGCGAGATCGAGCAGCTGGTGGGCGACGACCCCCAGCGCTGCGCCTACTTCGAGATCTCGGCCAAGAAGAACAGCAGCCTGGACCAGATGTTCCGCGCGCTCTTCGCCATGGCCAAGCTGCCGAGCGAGATGAGCCCGGACCTGCACCGCAAGGTCTCGGTGCAGTACTGCGACGTGTTGCACAAGAAGGCGCTGCGGAACAAGAAGCTGCTGCGGGCCGGCAGCGGCGGCGGCGACCCGGGCGACGCCTTCGGCATCGTGGCACCCTTCGCGCGCCGGCCCAGCGTACACAGCGACCTCATGTACATCCGCGAGAAGGCCAGCGCCGGCAGCCAGGCCAAGGACAAGGAGCGCTGCGTCATCAGCTAGGAGCCCCGCCGCGCCAGCGACACAACCTAAGGAGGACCTTTTTGTTTAAAAGTCAAATCCAACGGCCCGGCACGCTCCGTGCGCCCCGGGCCGCGAGCGCGCGGACTGGCGTCTCCCCTCCCCGCGATTCGCCCCCAGCACTGGGGAGGCGCCACTGAATCGAGAAGGGACGGTCATCTGCTCCGGAAGGAAAGAGAACTGGCCAAGACACATCCCCCCCACCCCCGTTCCCCCATTGGCGCCAGCCACCCCCACAACTTGGGGGGCGAGGGCCCAGCTGAGGGTGGATTTGTCTTCTCAAAGACCTAAGAGTGAGCGCGGGGTGGGGGGGATGTGAAGTTATCCAGCCTCTGTTAGGCTTCAAGAAACCGTCCTGCCCGCTTGCGGGTCAGGACCCAGGGGCATTATCTTGTCTGTGAATCCGGGTTGCTGTGACAGCCGGCAGAGCCTCTGCCCTCCCGAAACTAAGGGGGCCGGGGGTCAAATCATAGCCAAGTGACTCGTTTACATGTGAGTGAAACTGCACAAAGGAACACAAAACAAAACTTGCACTTTAACGGTAGTTCCGGTGTCAACAAGGACACGAACAAAACCTTACCCAGGTGTTTATACTGTGTGTGTGTGAGGTCTTTAAAGTTATTGCTGTTGTTTTTTAAATATACAATAAAATAATTTAAAATGGAAAACCGGTTTTTCTTTGCTTTTAGAGATGGCTGGAGTGGGGAAGGGTGCGGAGAAGGAAGGGGCTGGGCTCTGACTTAGGTGGAACTAGAACTTCCCCAGAACTGGAAAATAACCCTGGCCTTCTGAAAGCAGCTTGGGCTGCCAGAAAAGCCCCCCACGCCTGGGGCATCTATGCAGGGGATGGTTCCCTAGAAAACCAGGAGGAATATAAAGGATTTCAGGGTTCCCCCGGGAGATGAACTCTTTCTAGCCATCCATCCGCTTAATTTTCTTTGGGTTCGATGACAAAAGGCCTCATTTTCTGAGAGAATGTTTTGAATTCTTCAGTGTAAACGCCACTGGAACTGTGCCTAGCCATTTTGTCACCAGACTCAGTGTGGGCCCAGGCAAACTTTCAGACTGTTAGAGGCATCACTCAGGCCCTGGGGAAAGAGCCTGAGACCCATCTGGAAGCAGGCCCATCCTGGTGCCCACCCCCACCCCCTCAATCCAGGGTGCCACCCTGTCTGGAGACAGGAAACTCCTTGGCCTCCGCTCCCCGCTAGCTCCAGGCAGTGCTCATGGCCAGGTGTGGAGCCCCATGCCCCCCTCAGCCTTGCTGTCTCCCTCTCATGGCTAAGGCACCCTGGAGCACCACTCTCTTTGCCACTAGTACTGTAAACCTGTGGTAGGCGACACCTGCCAAGCCTCAAATTGTTCACCCCAGGAAGAGCGAACACCCCTGGCATGGGCTCGCTATGGGGATTAAGTGTGATGTTTGAAAAGTACTTAGCACAAATGCTGGCCACCCAGTAATCCAAATAATTGGTGGCTTTGACAGGGTGCTCAGCCCTGTGAGACACACTCAAAATCGTCTGAGAAGGATTTCAACCCTGCTCCGGTGAGGGTGGCTCCTCCTCCAGTCACAAAAAGGCACCCCCCACCCCGCCGCGCCCCACCGGAAAAAAAAAAAAAAAAAAAGGCAACCACGGATGGCCCAGGGGCCCGTGACAAGCACTGGCAGGGATGACCCGCCAGGCAAACTGCCCTTGAGGCCAGTCAGGAGAGGAGTTCCTGTTCCACACTGGTTCAGCAGGTGTGTGTCCAGGGGCGGAGGGAGGTGATAAGCAGAGGTGTGGTTCTGTGTCTGAACAGACAGAAACATTTTTCTCTCAACTCCCTGAGAGCCATCCCACTATGAATTTCTCAGTCCAAAAAGCATGATGTCCTGAGACAGCAGAGCGTTAAGTCCTTTTAATTATGCATTTGAAAAATGTTACAAGTCAAAAAAGGAACAAAGGCAGGCTCCGGCTCCCTCCGCCCCCCCCAGGAGCCCTTGTCCATTTCAGCCTTGCACTCAGAAAGACCCTGGGGGTCTTGTATTTTCCACGTGCTTCATGTTTCATGGTATCTGTCAGAGCCTTAAAACTGGCCCACCCACTACTGTGAAATTTCAAGGAAATAACTGATTCAGTTAAATAACAGTCCCAAGGTAGAACTGGTCTCACAGGTGACCACTCGCTTAAATCCAGAGCCTGCTTTTCTGCCCAAAGCCACTGAAATCTGATCTCCTCCTTCACACAGCCCCAGGTCCCCAATATGCCACCCACCTTCTGACACGTGACTACAGGTCTACACTAATGGAAGCTCTGCTAAAAACATCTGCACCCAATCCTCCTGCCAACAAGGTCAGTTGGCGGGCATCTGTTAAGCCCCTAAACTGGTCAGCACAGGTTATGTGCCCATTCCTAGACCCAAACAATACTCCAGGACTTCACACCTCCTCCTCGAGAGGAAAGGGAGAGAACTGCTCTTACCTCAGTCTGACAGGCAAGGGAGAGCACACAAACAAAACGTCCCATCTGGAAGAAATCAGGGAAGCTGGGGAAATGAGGGCTGTTCACAAACTTTTAAGAGCTCAAACTTGGCTGTGTAACTTTCAGACCTAGCTCATGGTCGGGGACCACCTGAACTGGCCCCCAGGGTTGCCGCTCTCTGAACACAAGGTGCATAGTGAACCCCTCTGCAGTGTAGTACATGTTGCTGCCACAAGTGCAAAGGCCAGAAGGAAAAGACCTTTTAACCAGAGCAATGGGAATCTGAAATGCCAGAAGAGGGAAGGTCTGTTCGCCTGAAGACCTCTTCGAGCCTGCGTGGAAAGGATGGCCCCTTGTCAACCCTGGGGAAGCACATCTGAAGCGTTTTGTCCACTCTTGGGCACTGACTGAGGGTGATGAGCGAGGAAGGGAGCAGGAGGTGACCGCGAGGAGAGCCTAGGAGGCAGGGAACCTGGAGGAGGCAGGGAACCTGGAGCAAGGGGCTGCCTGGCAGGGCTCTGGGCTGACACCCCCACAGCTATAGTTCCATTCACTGGCTCAAACATAAAAGGAACCAAACTGTTTGGGAAAAAGGCCACCCTCTGGCCTTTCAAAACATTATCTAACAGTTCTACGCCATATGAGCGCAGGCTTAATTCATCCAGTGAATTCTATGCAAATGTTTCAAGAAGCTGCTTTAACAGGAACAATGTGTACCTGGTACACACTGATCTATGGGGGTGGGAGGAGAGGGAGGGAAGGAAGCAAAGAGGAACTGCCTCCCTTCCTACTGTGCTCTTCAGATCTGTCAGTGGAGCCCGGCGCAGCAGATGGCCCCCTCCCCAGCGGCAGGGGAGAGCCCTCCACCCCCTCCGCTGCCTCCAGGAGCATTCTGACTTCCACCAGCAGGCACTCCAGTTATTATGCATCTAGACATATGGATCTACACGAAGAAACCCAGCGCAGCCAAGCTCGGTGCTGGCTCCCGCACAGGCGACGCACATGCAGCAGCACAGGAGCCCCGCCCCTGCACCTTGAGGTTCTGAGCTGGGGTCCACAGGAACCACGCCCCAAGGAGACTTTGGGGATGGTAGTGGGGAGACAGGCCATTGGCATCCCCCCGTTTCTCAGGAAGTCGGCCTCACTCTACTCCTTGGGGATTTCGAACATGCAGAGGCTCTTGTACTTTTGCAGAAGCTCGTTCTTGGTCCTGACTTGCTCCCGGAGGCTCTGCAGCTGCTGCTGCTGCTGCTCAGGGCTCAGGTGGATGCCGGGCATGGTGCTGATGAGCTTGCGCATCTCCTGGAACTTGGTTTTGAGGGCGTTCAGGTCCTGGTGGACCTCCGGGCTGTCCTTGTCCATGCTGTGGGGGAAGAACAGCTGTTAGCATTCGCAGCTTGATACATGTCTTGGCTTTCCCGTCCTGCACCCCCCAGAGCTCGCTGTCATTCCTGCGATAGCTTTTAGAACACTTCATTTTATGTGTCTATCCTCTGACTAGGCTGTCCACCCCCAGAGGAAGGGACGGGTTCTCTTTTAGGCAGCCAGCAAAGAGCTCCCAGGCCTAGCACACTTGCAGATCACACACAGACACTCTTGATCTTCTGTCAAGTCAACTGTCACTCTGTGAGGTCAAGGACCATGTCTGTCTGGTCACAGGTGTCTCCCTACCCTCGGCCCAGTGTGTGGCACACTGCAGGCACTCAAGAAATGTCCGTGGAAAGAATGAATGCTTGGCAAATAAGCTCATGAACATGTTGGTTCAATTAACAAACCAATACCAATATCAGGTGACAAATGCCAAACAAAACTTGCTAAAATATGACATTTTGTCTAATTGGAGCCATTTCTAGGCCAATCAGGAGGCTTCACCAGCTAGCAAGAGCTAATTTTAGCTGAGGTTTTGATGCTGGCTTGAACCTGTTAACATAAAGACTAATTTCCACAGAGCTGTTCATAAATTTTAAATTAGTTAAAATGCAACTGATTTAAATGTCTCAGCAGACACAGGCTCTCTTCTGCCATGGTGATGGACACTCCCTGCCTTTGATTCAAGTTCACTTTCAAGGCAGACCGTTCGCTCTATCTCACAGCTATTAGCTGCACAGAGGTCCTACTCAATGAAAAACGAGGCAAGAACAATGTCCCTTAAGATAAAAAAAACAGCCTGGCAGTTGCTCTTATACATTTATTTATTTGTTTTTTGAGACAGAGTCTCACTCTGTCGCCCAGACTGGAGGGCAGTGGCGCGATCTCGGCTCACTGCAACCTCCACCTCCCCGGGTCCCGGATCAAGCAATTCTCCTGCCTCAGCTTCCTGAGTAGCTGGGATTACAGGCACGTGCCAACACGCCCCGCTAATTTTTGTATTTTTAGTAGAGATGGGGTTTCACCATGTTGGCCAGGCTGGTCTCGAACTCCTGACCTCAGGTGATCCACCTGCCTTGGCCTCCCAAAGTGTTGGGATTATAGGCATGAGCCACCGCACCCAACTTCCTATACATTTTTTAAAAGTTAGTAAGTGGATGAGCTTTTGAAAACAAGTGGTTGAGACCAAAACTAAAAGGCAATTCAGTAAGCTGTTCTGAAAGTAAGCCATTGAGGCATAAGAGGGAAAAACTGTCAATGATCATTAATTTTTTAAATAAATGTTCATCCGTAGCGGGAAATTTCAACCCAGATGGTGCTAATTCATGTTTACTATTCATCATTTCTCTGCTTACGCAGGCAAAATATCCATCTTTCCTGGCGATCCATCAGTTACATCTCACACCTTGCAAATCAGATGGCCACCATGGCCAGCTCTGTATTTACCAACAGCTCTAAACTCAGAGGGAGGGTACGGAGAATCAATCACTTCTTCCAGGAAATGAGAGGCCAGCCAAACATCTCTTGTCATTTGATGCCCTCAACTGAGAGACACCATTAACAGTATACCTTATCTCAGATTCTCGAGAGGATGAACTGGTATTCGTGAGAACTAAAAACCCTTTGGAAGGAAGCAAATAGGGAACTTCTTTTATTTTAATTCTTTGAAGTCTCAGCTCTGATCCACAAACGTGGACAGAAACCATCTGGACTTCTGAAATCCTTCTACTTGGATGGCATGCGTGTTAACATACTGTTACGAATTTAAGTCCCAAGGAAGTTTTAAAATTAAAATATAGTTTTTTAAAAAACCGACTCACATCACATGAGTCTGAAAC